GAGGTGAAGAACTCATTCAGCACTTCAGCATGATCCACTAGAATTACAGGGCAACAAAACCAATACTACTCTAAAATGTTTATTAATGAATCCCAGAAAGTGCCATCAGAACATAAAGACTGGAATCCAGGTGTAAACTGAAATTTCAAAACTCTGGTCAGTAGAAATACAGGTTTATGTGCTGCTAACAAGGTAATTCCAAAAGAGAAGTATAATTGAAATCAACTATTACAACACCATGACCAGACCAGTTTTAGAGCTAGTAATAAAATGAGACCAAAATAAACATGCAAAAAAATCGCTATGGCAAGTTCAAGTTTTCAAACCTTTGCACAGGCTATAAAGTATGCAATATAGCATACTAAATATATAGAAACTACAGTCAACTCACATAGTTCCTGAGCTTCAAATATTTGGAAGAAGGGAAAGTACTGGAAGGAAGCAGCACATTTGCCTGTCACGTTTTCGTCCTCTTTCCTAGTCTCCCCTCAGGGAGACAAGAAACCAGGCTATACACCCCTGAGCCATTTAAATGAAGCCAATCTTTACTTGCAAACACTGAGCAATTAAAGCATAAATTAAAATGTAACAAACTACCCTGTAACTGAAACATCAGAGAAACACTGAAAAGCACTTTTAAACATACAGATTACAGTATTTACATGTATTACAACTGAAATACATTTTAATAAGTAACACTGATAAGAAAAATTTGATTTAGATTACGAATTCCATGCAAAATTTGTAGAGCTCTTTGATTCTCATTATCATATTCAATAAGAAGATTAGTTGATCATTAAACTGTTAGTTTCCATCTCTAAACTCTGACAACACAAAATGGCAATATCATTTGTATCCCTGCTACTGTGTCTGAAGGAACCACACAAAAATATAGGCTTCATCAGTCATATAAAATAGAATTATTGTGTTTAGTAGAAAAGTACACAAATATTTACTACCTGGTTGACCACCTCAAAGTACAGTGCAAGTGTTGTAGTAGGATTAAGTCCACAAATCTTCCACTGACAAGTACCTCCTGTTCCAATCTCCTGTAGAAAGATTTTGTAATACTTTTAAAAATCAGAAATATTACCTTCCTGTGTGAAGTACATCTGGCCATTATAGGGAATTGTTTATGACTACTCTGTCCCAGGTTTTCTCCCCGCTCACCCTCAGCATCTCAGACAAACACTCTTGCAAAACAACTGCAGTGTCAGATACAGGAAAAATAAAAAAGGAGATGGTTGTAAAAGATTAAAACATTCGAAAGACAAGGAGATGGAATTAGAAAAATGTAAAAAGCAAGCCAGAAACAGGAAAAAGTACTAGACTTTGCTTAAACAGTCCCAAGAGAGGAGAAAAGAAGCACATGTAAGTGGAATGGTCCTTCTAAGGTACACCAGTAAAACTTCAAGTAGATATCTTACACAGTATATATTACGTAGCCTCTAGTAACTAACAAGGTAACTGTACACAGACAGTGATACATTTCAAGACACAATTCCTTTTTGTCATCCAAACAACATAAATACCCAGAGAAACCAATTAAAATAATCTGTCATCCATAATGCACCCAGTGAAACCAAACAAAACATTCAAGGAAAATTATACTGGCAATATTGTCACTGTGCTTGTGTTCACCGTTACAACCATTACAGCTAGATTAACTGTCCAGTTACCACTTGCAATGAGCTGCACACATCTATATTTTATTCATATGTTTTACCTCAAAAATTTTAATTCAGACAATTTCAACAAAAAGATTTTTTGAATAGAAATTAATCACTATATAACTGCAAGACAACAGACAAACAGACATTAATTCACAATGACATTTTCTATTGCCTCCTATGACTTAAATATGCAGCTTAAATAAGGAGATGTATATTTAATTGCTTTTTGCGTTTTTAATTTGCAGTACATGCAATCATTCAGGTGATAAAATAAAATTTGCACCAGACCACTAAGAAAAAAAAAAAAGAAAAAAAATGCTGATTAAATTGAGATTTTTAGTTCACAAAGATGCCATAATACAAGGAAAATTTAGGCATGAAAAATGCTTGATTAAAGCAGGCCATTTGTAAGAACTTTCATACTGGAAAGTGCTCTGTTACTTAGATTGTTAGGAAGAAAAGTGAGACTTTACAAATTTAAGACATATTGGCTACTTGCAAAAATTGGTTTTGATTAGTAATCAAGTGCCAAATTAAACTGTAATAATATTATAAGAAAATGGTGACGGTTTAAGTTTGATGTTAATTCAAAGGAGTTACTTCAGGAGCCCGTAATAGTTGGATATTCTAATCAATTATTAAACGTGCCTTTGGTGAAACAGCTATGCAAATAGAAAGACAGGGTCAAGATAAAGGGGATGTTCCCATGGTCTTGTGTCCCCCTCTTCTCTCTGTCTTTCTAAATAAAGTATTTTCATAGTTCTCTGTTTGGATAAAAGGACATAGCTCTGATTTTAATGATAAAGCATGCCAATTCACTTTCCACTTGGTTTCTTGCTTTGCCAGCATATAACTTCTCTGGGATAATTTTAAAGCAACCACTCAGTGGACAAACCTAACCAAGCAACAAGGGGTCTGCAAAGTCTAATATAGCTTGAATCTAATCTAGTAGTGAACAGGAGGTTATCCAAAAAACAGCACTTGCATGTATTTAATTTAAAATTGGTAAAAAAAGTAAACACTCTTCGTTCCATGTATGGAAACGTTTCAGCCTCTCTTCATATCCAGAAATCCTAAATCCTCTTTTTTGATAGTATGATATTACCTTAATTTTCAGCAAAGTTAACTCACATTTTCTGAGACACAAGGTCCTTTAGAGTTCAGAGAGACACAGGGTCCAATTGCTCCAGAGATCTTAACTTCTCTTGAAGTCTTCGTATTTAGAAGAAAAACACAGATTAATACACCACACTAAAAAGACCTCAGTCTTATTTTATCATTAGTTCATTAAAACGTTAATGCAATTTAGACTCTTGATACCTTTAAGAAAGGTTACACATATAACAATGCTTGATACATTTAGAGAAATTTTTCATGTGCTCACTTTCTACACTTAATTATGTATGTTTGCTGTACCAATTAGTACATCCAGAACAACAGCATGAACATGAATTAAAACATGGAGAAAAGCTGCTGTCTTTTATAAACCTGTGAACCTAAAAAGTATACTGAATAATGTCTGTTTTCTATCAAAGTAATTAAAATATTCACAAAAGTAGATTAAAACTGAAGACTGGTGAGATAAATACTTCACACTGAATTTATACTCTCTATCTCCTAAGCATATTTAGCTAAAAGCGAAATCCAGTTATTAACATTCTTCCAATGTAATTTTGAAGTGATTTGTACATTCCTCTAGAACTGGGGATCCCTTTGTGCATTTTCCAGGATATTCCAACAAAATTCACAAGAATATGTACATGAAAAAAGAGCGTTCAATTATTTGTCCTGGTAGCAAAAACTTAAACAGAATTTTACTAAATAAGAAAATAGCTCCATATTCTTCTACAAGGCAGGACTGTAATACTTTGTGAGAAACATCACAGAAGACCATACTTGAACATACAGCACATTCAGCTCTAAGCTTCTCACAAAACTGGAGGTGAAAAGGAACACTGTTAAAGTGCCAGAGTGGATTCTGATAAGGATGGAAAGTGACAGGAAAGCTGTCCTGGACTATGTGGGGAACCTGGACCTAAAACCAAGAAACACTCGCTGCTGATACCAAAATCTACGCACACAGCATTGTGAGTTTCTAAGAGAAACATTAATTTTAGTTCAGTCTCCCTTTTAGCTGTCACTAAATGCAGGGTAAGAAGGAATTAACATTATACCTAACTCACATTTACAGAATCACAAAGCTGCAAAAAGACAGCTAGGCAGTAACAGTCACGTCCAAGCCAACTCTGACACATCTGTTTAGCATACTAAAAACTCCTTAAAGGGCAGAGATTCCACAGTTCTTAGCCATCCTATTCCAGTGTTTTAATAACACATTGTATTTTTTATTCTTACCTTTATTTCTAATGTGCCACCAAATCCCATTTTAAATTGTCCTTGCATATCTTTTGTGAATACTCTCTGAAAGGTTTGCTTGAATAAAGATGTATTGAAAGAGTCTCCCATTACCATGTAGCCTCTAGACAACAACAGCAAAAAGAACAAACAAAACCCTCAAGTTAAAACAGATTACTTGTTATGTAATAATTTAGCACATGGGATTTATATAGCTTATAGCTAAAACTCATGACAGTTCATGGTGAGGCACATTTTTGGCTTCTTAAAATGGACTATCACTAAATTAATGTTTTGCTACAATGTTAGGGATGAATTTTGTGAGGTCCTTACCCAATCAGCACCTTAAGGTCACTGTGATTATATAAAATATAGTAAAATATTTCACTGGGAAAATACCATACTGGACTTGAATGCTACAAATGTCTCACAACCTTGACAAGCAAAGTCAGTTAACTACTTCTAATAATTCAATATTCCAAACCTATTACCACGCCATTTTGTGTAGTTCACTCATTATTTCAAGCCTAAATCTACGCTCAAGAAGCATGATTTGTTTTTATACTTATGAATATTCTGTGGATGTAACTGCAACTGTCGGCTCTCATCATGAAATATAACAAACTGCATTTAGCAAATAGTAGCGGGAGATGTTATTGTTATTCATCAAAAATATTAACTAGATCACATTAGTAGAATATGTTAGTAGGTCAAACATTACACCTGAAAGTAGTTATGGAAATTTTCAGGTAGATACTTGAAGACAGAAGACAACAGACACAGGCAGAACCAGAAATCCCTCCCTGTGTGAAGGATGTAACCAAGTAGAAAATAGGAACAGCTCTACGAGAAATGGACAAACTATACATTAAAGCTACTTTTGCTAGAAGAGTAGAAACAGGGTAAGGTGAGTCACAAGAGCAGAGAGAAAGAGCAAAATTACACTGTAGTATACAGAAAAATACAGCCTGAGTTTGATGCAGAAAAGGAATAGGAATCAAATGTGCCCGTAAAGTCATAAACTTAAAAATCCTAAGCAATGGAAACTCCTGTGCTAAAGGTATACAAACACACCTCTGAAAAGAAGTAGCCCAGGAGTGACTAGCATGGCCAAGATGCCCTGAAACTCAGCAGCATATGCTCATCACAGCCTGCGGCTGCATCTTTCAGTCTTCTTGGTATCCCTAGATACATAGCATGTGCATAGGATCCTCCGTCATACGAAGGTTTTGACAGGCAACTAAGGTGGCCTGTTACCCACAGATCTACCAGTTATTAGACTGATAAGCAAAGATGCTTCATTTAATTTTACCCACAGTTGGTATGGACACAGCTAACAAGCAAGAAAAATGAGCCTGACAGAAGAATCCAGACTGAATACAGAAGTCTAACCTAAAAATCAAATGGTATGTAAAGCAGGTGGCTATACTAGCAAAGATTAAATATTACGAGTGTAGAAAAGACTTTCAGAAAGACAAATAAAAAGAAAATACAGTCTTTGAAAAAAATATGGAGGAAGAACTGGCAGGATTTACTAAATTAATGAGGTACCTAACACACAAGCAAGAGTCAAAAGTTATCCCAGACTGCAGATCTGCATGAGAGGAAGGGTGAGGGTGTCATCCACAGTGACAGGAAACAAGGGATCAGCTTCATGAGAAAGACTAGAACTTGCTTTGATCTTGTTAAAATGACCTGATGGCAAGACAAGCTGGAGGGAATAGAAGACCATGTGCAAAATGCAGAACTGGACAGAGGCAGAAGACAGCAGCTGAACTTATGAACAACAGTGTATAGAAGAAGGGCATAAACAAGACAGAAGGAATAACACAGGGTTCTGTACTACTCAAGAGCATGAAAAAGAAGGATGACAAGTCCTTATCTTTACTGAAACCTGCAGCTTACATATACGCACACTGAAAAAGAAGAATACCAGCAGTACATAGGATAAATTGCCTGTTTAGAAGATATACATGTTATTTAAGCCTCAAACAGATCATACAGAAAAAAAAAAAAATCAAACAGCAAATCCCTTTCTGATCAAATGCAGAATTATGGTGATGAATTTGCCAGAGGCTCAAAAATTCCAAAATTCTGGTACAAATGCAACCATCACAGTATATCAGAGTAGGTTTGTGGGGTTTTTTGTTTTGTTTTAAAGTAACAGAATGTTTTTGGTGAGTGCATCGTGTTAAACAACTTAAAAATGAACAGGCACATACCCAGTGTAGTTGGGGCAACACTTCATCTCCAGGAGACCAGTCTGATCCAATGCACATGCATATATGTCAATAACATGACCATTTGTTGCAGCCCGATTAGCCAGGGCTTCAAAATGCTAAATCCAAGATGAAAATACAGTTCATAGTAATTTATGACATGAACTCTCCTCATCTTCATATTAAATCCTAAACTCCCAACATTTTTCTAAGACATTACCAAACTTTATTCATGACATATTCTAATACAAGCTAAAAGAATGTTTTTTCCTGAAGTTAAAATTAAGAGTGGTTTTTTTTCAACACCTGTGTTTTTTTCTGATCAGCTGAGAACCTGACTCACAGACAGTGGTTGCTATTTAAACTAGAAAAATGACCTTGATCTTTTCTTTTTAAGTTTTGCATTAAGTACTAGATCCAACACACTGAATTGAATTTACCTTTCTAATCTCAGGTGTCTATAACAACAGACACCTGCAACTGAGCTAATCAGTTAAGCTCACATTATAATGAGTTAAGATTAATTCAACAAGATTTGGATGCAGTTCATCTGTCCAAATTTACATTTAGGATAAAACAAACTATGCCTAAACTCTACTGCCTAACCCTCCCCCAACTACAGAGACAGTTTTGAGCAGCTATCTTAGAAGCAGAAGCCTTACTCTAGATATATCATTCAGTCCTATGAATCTTCTCTGACTTAAACCAGGGAAACACTTGAAAGAACGTTAATGTTGTTAGACAAAGTCCTAACTCAATACACTGAAATTTCTGAAGGAATTCCTGAAGACATCCTACTATTCAGAGACAGGTAAATAAAACCACACAATTCCCACCTCTTTTTATATTTGCTACTACTGACAGTATTTTACAGTGCCAAACAATGTAACAACTACTTACTGGCAAGATGCTTAAGTATCACCCATGATCATCTCTTACCTTAGTACCCTTTTTAACATATTTAGCATTGTCTTTTTCAATATCATGCCATGATCTTATAGGTAACTTCAACTCATCCCCTACAACCATGCCAGGTCCTTGTGTAGCTGGTCCTCCAATGAACATCATTATACGTGCGCCAGTATTAGGAAAAGTGCACTGCAGGAAATAAAAGACAAAAAAAAAAAACCCATCGCGTCTTCCTACAAATTGAACAAAAGAAACAGCTATGCAGGTATTTATCACGTTGATAGGATTCTAACAACAACTATACTTTTTACCTCTGAAAACTTAAACCCACTGTTAATTCAAAGTCTCAATTTTGCCTCACTGAAACGTGTAAACGCCTACGAATACTCTGCATATGAAAGGAATTATATCCATCAGAATCATCATATAAATCTAATATGCATCACTAGGGTTTCAATATATTGATTGTGGCAGCTTTTCTGCAACAAGATGATCTATTTACATATTAGCACAACTGTAATTAAAGCTATTACCTCAAGGAGCCCTACAGCTATGGAAAGAGCCACTCCGGAAGAACGTAAGGGCCGTTTTCCCTGTGGAACAGGCCAAGGATCCCGTTGCAGTTCACCCAAAAGATCAGTAAGATTCATATCAATTTTCTGCACTGGTTGCAAAAATCTGTGAACAAATACATGGAATTAGTTTAGATTCAAGTTGTTAAACAAAAATTTAATCAGTTGCTCACTAGCAATATATTAGACATATCCTAGTACTGTCTAATTCTAGATTCCAGTCTGGATTCAGAGGAATGTCTCCACCTCACCAAGGTAACACACTTTGGTATTACTACATACACACCACACTCAGCTTAAGTTGTTCAGCTAACTGTTTGTAAAACAAAAACTTGCTAATTTAGAGATGTCACCACTATCCAGAAAGAACCCTATCAAGTCAAAAGAGCACTGCAGATGAAGAGCTAGGAATTTCAAAAAGAAACTCGAGTTTCACTACTTCAGTGAAAATCAAAGATCATAAGAAACATTAATATTTAAAGAATTTTTCATGCTCTCTGATACAGGCTGTCTACAAATTGCAGCTCTTTATTGGAAGGTAGAAACTGCAAAACTGTCTCTCTTTTTTATCATTTCATCAATTTCTTCTATGTCACAGTGAGATACACAGGAGAATCAAACACCAAGCCACAATTTCCAAATGACAGACAGAAGGGGAGGGGAGAGGAGTGAAGAGGGAGAAAAAGGGAGGCAAAACTGGATATTCACATAAGAAAGGTGCACTAAAGCAGCTATTAACACTTTCCAGCATACCAACCAACAGAAGCATCATTATTTATATATCTATAATATGCCTATATAATATTCTCAGAACATTTCCAAAGCATCATCCAGATGATTTTACTATCACCCATTAAGTCTTTTCTTCCTAGTACAAACTGTAGGAAAGAAACAGGCTGTAACCATTAGTCTCCTAGAAAGTTTGTGCCTGATCAAAAGGTTCAACTGTCACTTCATTGCTCTCATTGTCATAAAACGTTAAGTTCTCCAGTAAATCAGTGTAGTCAAGGTGCATTTTTTAGATGTTTTAAGCATACTACCTGTTAGAAGGTGGTGGCTGCTGCACTTGAGGACCCCGACCAACTTGTGAAACTGCTACTTTCGTAAGCCCCAGCATTTCCTGTAGTCAAATAAATAAGAATTTATTACAAAATTTGTTTACAGACTATCTGAATTTCTTCTTCACCATCATCTTGACGATTTCTTTTTTGTTTGCTTTTGTGCATTACCTGCAGCTGTTTTGCAGACAGGTCCTTTGTTCCTCTGAAGACATAACTTTTGGAAATTCCTTCACAGCCAAGCTCATGAACTTGCACCATTCGGCCAAAGGTAATGAGACCTACTAACGCAGTTGGTGGCAAGAGACTAAGCGACATTTGCATGGATTCCTTCAGAGCTTGCAAGTCTTCATCTTCCATGCATGTGTCCACAACATAAAGAAATATCAGAGGCATCTGAGGACCACGCTTTAAGAAACACAAACATAATCCCATGAAAATAGATCTTGCAATATTTACAGCATCAAAAATGAACAAATAAAGTACATTTTGTAAAAGTTTTAATTTTAATCATACCAATATTGTCCACATTTCATCTAACTTACCTCACTCTCAACTAGTAATAAGTACCTGGGCCTAAAGGGGAATGAAACCCCTACCATAACGAACTCTGCACAAAAATTAAATGCTTACTACAGAAGAAAAGAAAAATCCTTTCAGGATGTCATGATAATTTTGAAGCATGTGCCAATTAAGCTTTTAATAATTAATGAGCTTTTATTGTTCCAAGTGAACATAACCGTCACAATTATAAAATATTCCAACCTGATAACATTCTGTGTAATTTCACCTCATAATTTTACTCTAGAGATCATCAGTTCTTTTTATTCTTTCTAAAGTAATTTTGCTGTACTGTAAGCAAATATCCTCTTTAACTTTGCGTTACAAGAGTTGACAAAAAGTAGAGATTCTGGTCAGTCTTCCCTCTTCTTTCCATAATCTAAACGCCTTACTGAAGTCTTACAAATTTTAATAATCTAAAATGGAATTCAGAGATTACAAATTTGCAATTGCAAATATTTGCAATTTTGGGTTGTAGGTCCATTTTTTATTTCTATTCAAGTAACTTCTACACTAAAAAAGGGTGGATATTAAAATTCAAACACCTGAACTGAGTATGTATTAGTTCTTTTCTCTAAACCAGCTAGCCCTAAAACTAACTTGTAATCATTCAATTACAAACTTAAAATTCAAATGATTCGTGAGAGATGAATCAACAGTCCGCCAAATTTGAACTAAAATAATTCAAGCAAGTAACAGGAGTAAGCAGACTCCTGGCACAAACACAAAGTAAACTCCTGGTAAAGAAACAGACCTAACAGAAATATAGCCTTCAGAAGAGACGTCTTTTTCTTTTTTTTTTTTTTTTTTTTTTAAACCAGCCTTATTAGCCATCATTGTGGTCTTATAAAAAGTTATGTTTTCCATTTCCAACTGACAACATATATGTTCGATCTACTAACAAGCACATATAGACTCACAGTCATTAAGACGCAGTGAAGAAATAAAATTGAAATCAATTCTTTTTGTATATTTCAAGTTTATAAATGTTAAAGAATTTATTTAATTATTTTACCTGTACTACATACTCAATGCTGGAGAACTGAGGTAAAAGTTCAGCTGGCTGATTCATTTCAGATATGCCAGCATAGGTAGGAGGAAACTGCAAATAAAACCAACAAAGTTAAGTATAAACAAAAGATTGCAACTTCTACAAAACCAAAACATACAAATGGACTACTTTCCTCTGCAACAGGTGTTCATTACTGCTGTCATGAGAAAATCTCAATGAATCTCTGAAGACAGAGCTGCACACTCATAGTCTTGCTGTCAATTTCAGTCCGCAACTACAACTTGAAAAATTAGGATTTTCACTTTTACCTTATAAAAAGATTCTCTGTATCATGAATGTTTCATTTTCTTACCTGATTTCTCTGATAACAAAAGTTGCAAGCCCAGAGTTTTGCTCGATAATCCACTTGGCTATAAAAATACAATAAGAAAAGTTTATATAGCATGAACAATTCTTTTTCCTCCACTGACCCTAGAATAAGTTTCTTTTAATTTTTAAAAAATACATTGACTCAGCACCTTTAATAGAGACTTTCCGCACAGTTTTAGGGAAATAATTTTAATTCTCCCTATCTTTGTGTTTTTCTCCTTTCCCAGCCTATGCCTACTAGCTGCCAGAGTCTGTGACTATCCTGCATACATATTATGCCCTAAAAAAACAGATTCCAATTTAACAGCTAGCTCTCCAGTGAAAATAACTTTTTTCAATTTATGAGCCTACCTCCTTTTATCTACATTTTTATTAGTATTCAGATAGTTAAAATAAAAAATGTATCTTCATGCCATACAGATGTCTTACAAAGTCCTATTCACATCTGAAGGGAAAGCAAACTTTAGATGTTTTTAATGTACGTTTCTTGTTATCACATCTTCTCCTGTCTACAAGGTCAAAAGTCTTTAAAATATCATTAAATCTTTGGACAAATCCCAGCATGCTGTAAACACAACACAACTCTACTGAGATCAAATGATCTATACTGATTTCAGAGGCTGCAGATTATCCAGTCCAATACACTACACCACACAGACCTCAAAAGGTCCCCCCAAATTGAGTCTCTAAACACACCTCGTAAAAAAAAAAAAAAGAAATATCCAGTCTTGACTTGTATACGTGAGACAGAAAAAACATACACAGTTCACTGTAATGTTAGGGATCTGTCTGACCCTTAGAGCTTTCTCTTTCCATTATTTTTCTTCCAGCCCTCAATAAAAGATAATGCTTCTGAAAAAGCTGAGCTTCCACCAAGTCTGACTTCTGGTATAATCAGCCACTGTGTCCATTTAATACTGAAATACAATTTTACGTCTGCGTTGAAATCGCTTTTTCTCCCAAGCAGGAACAAGTCGTTCCTAAAATTGAGTGAGTTCTACAGGATCTTTTACACCATGTAGAATCTCCCACTACCACTCAGTGCCTTTCCCATGCCTATCAAACTCCACCTTAGAAATTGTTCCATTTATTTTCCATGCTTCTGTGAGTGGAATGACATATGAAACACATCCTCTGCTTCCAAACTAAACTTACTCAACTTACTCGCATGCCTGTTTCTGATGTGTTTATTTATCTGTCTATCTATCACACCTTTTAGTTTCTGTTTTGGTAAACGAAACCAGCTAACCTGCTTTGGTCTACAAATGAACTAAGGTCAGTAATAAATATAGTTCATTTTACTTAGAAATTAAACTATACCAGGGCCCAACAGTTTAAAAGATATAGCATAGTAACTTTTTACCCTAGTTATTTTCCAGAGGCAAAATGCAGGAGTATACTAACTCACAAGATGTGTAGTTCTAAAAAAAATAACATACCTCACCATTAATTAAATATGTTGAAAAGACTAGTTAAATGAAAGCTATGTTTTAAGTATATATGTTACATATGCAAATCTATGTGCAGAAAGTTCTAAGATCTAGAAGTCTGAGCTATATATCCATGAGAGGAGTACCTGAACTTCCACACACCAGATCTTTTGCATAGTTTAACTGGCACTATTCTAAACACTGTTTGTAAGGAAAAATATTGGCATAACATATGTATTAGGTTTACCATAAAGGATTCAGAACAGCTCGACATGTGGTCCTACTGCACAAAACCGGCTCATACTGAATAGGAGGCAAGTCTGGTCTTTCTTTCAATGGAGTGAAGAGGGCAGCCACTGGGACTACCATTCTTGTGGCTTCAAGACGACTCGAAGGCCAAACATTCCAGCTGAACCTAACCCCATCTCTGTCCTCATTCTGCTGGATAAATTCCAGGAAGGTTGTCATGGTCAACTTCTCTGTTTATCACTGTAATAAAGAGAGAACCATTAGAATGCCGAAGTGCAAACACTTTTAACCAGAAAACATTGAATGTACTCAATGACAGTCACACATTCAAATACTGTAACTAAGTTACAACTCATAAACACTGAGTAGTGCTTCTTAAATCCTAAAAGCAACACACAGAACTACAACATGAAACAGAAAGAAAAGTAAGACTCCTAGGATGCAGCAACCTTTTCAAAATAACAAGTATTTGATATGGTGCAAATTAAATACATAGTGTTAAAATCAACCATCTTCTGATCACTTCTTGACTCAAGCAACAAATTCAGGCAAGAAATGTTATAACTAAAGCAATAATTCTAGGGTAGGTCAGAGCAGACAACATGCAGCACACTAACACACAACAAAAAAGAGACTTGCTTACACAAAAAAAATACACCCTGCTTTAAGGCCTTTAACTAATGCATTTAATTCTTCATTCTGCTCATTCAAGATTCAATAATTATTCATTCTTGCAAACTGTTTCATCCTCTGATTTAAGAATCAAATAGTAAAAGGCATTTCTAAGTGTAATTGTTTTATGTCTTCCACATTGTCAAATTTTGTAAGAATTTTGTAACCATAATTAACCATTTTCAGTCACTCATCATGTGGCCTATATGCAAACATAAAGGAATAACAACACTATATTCCACATGAGCACATTCCTACAGCAATGCTAGGAAATAACGTTTTAAGTACGTGTCATATTCCACTACATTATATATCAAGATGCACCTTTCAACAATTGTTTGAACTCAAATTTACCATTTGGACACCAACCTAAGACTTCAAAATTTTCAGCTGCTATTACTCAGAAGCTGGAGCACTGGGGAACACAGACACATCTGAAAAGCTCAACAGGATCCTGTGAACATCTGGTAAAGCCAGCAAGAAGCCACCCCCCCCACCCCACATCCCCACAAAAAACCCTGAACACTCAGGTACATCTACACTGTCCCCGAACACTTGCTGTATGCTTCCCAGTACATTTTATAATACGTAAGTTACACAGGTTTTTCCAGCAACTAGGATATCTAAACTCCCACTGCCTAATAATTAAGAATTTACTGTAAAAGTCTCAATGAGGTAGCCTGGGAAAACACTCCAAGGCCTCATTTTAGATTTAGACCGTACTAAGTTAACAAACAGCTTTAGACATCCAGGAATCCCCCTGAATTGAGATTTAAATCAGGAATTCTCATAAACACTGTGATGACTCTCTTAGCCCCACAATTAAATATGCTATGGAAGACTCCTGGAAAACTCACCATTTCTAAAGACCTAGCTCTCTTTACTAAAATTATAATAACACTGCACCTTTACTTTATATGATAGTTAAAAACTTCTCAGGTTTTTTAAACTATAGTTTAACTTAATATTTTGATTCTAATGCTGACTTTCTAACAAAACAGATTAACATCCATAAAACAAAGTGAAGCTCCACATTTCACAGCTAATATCATCAGGAAATAATCAACTGTCAGCATGTGATGAAAGCTGCAGAAAGGAGTCTCAAAATTGTTCTTATAAAAGGCAGACTGACAAACGAACTTAACTCTATAGATTACCCTTCTCTTAAAGTTTTCCACAGGTGTAATCACTTTTATCTCCCTGTTGTAATAGAAACATTATGACAGTTAGTCTGCCAACATTTTAATGGGGAAAAAAACCCTGTCATTTTAAAATTATCTCCTGAGAAGAAAAAAAAATTGCAACTTAAAGGCCATTTTAGTCATTCCATAGGCACCTGCTACAAAGTCCACCAACTCCATCTCCACATACTACAAAATGAACTCTCACTTTCTGTACTGGACTTTAAAGTCTTTTGACCACGTTCTACTCTAGCTACACTGGAAATGGTTTTACACAGATATTATTTTTACCACTCAGTTATTGCTCCACAGAGGCCAATGTACAAACACTACTGTGCAGTGACTAATAAGTGCATATACATATACATAAAAGATTTGTCAGATTTATTGAGTCAAACACTGCTACCTTCTGGTAAGGTATGTATTTCGTATTTGGAAGGCAGAACCTGCTAATAATCAAATTTTCCTCCACCTTTTCTTCCAACCTTGTCTTTGTTTCCAAAAGCCAATAATGCTTACCTTTTTCATCATATATCAAACATGAAACTCATGGTCTGACACGTTACATTCAGTTTTGACAGCACTGCTATAGCTACCCGGGCAAGTTTTCTGGGATCAGTGTGGAGATGTATTACATTACACAGGAACAGCGAAAGCCTCCTTACCTACAGATGACATACCAAACTTCATACACCTGAACGCCACAAAATACACATTGCCCACCTCAGACAACCACAGAGAAGTGATTTTCAGAACAACTGAACAGCAACAGCTCCCATGTTGGGGTGTCACTGATTTAGCTTTGCTGCAGGATAGGACACCCAGCCAAGACCAGCAGCCATTCCTGGCTTGCTTCCTCCCTCCCGCTGCTGGGGCGGGATGTACCTTGTATTCCTGCACCACGGCAATCTCTCTCTGTGCCACACAAAGCAGCCATAACTGAACTGCACAGTCACAGGCTGACTACGCTGGACTATGAAGGCTTGATTCTCAGGTCAACAATGGTATTTATGTAAGTACTCTGACTAGATGCAAGAGTACAGTTAGGAATTTCTAACTATTACACATATCAAGCATGTTTGATATACCCTTCGGAAAGCTATCCTATAGCTGAATAAACAGTTTTGAAATACCTTACCTTGAAATGACATTATTTTGAAATGCTTCTGGAAACAACTGCAAACACTAACTATAGATTCTTCAAAACAGATTATTCTAAAAGCTCCTCCTTCATCTCAGCACCTTTAAACATTTACACTCCACACGTAAATGTGTCCCAATACAAAAGATCACCAAAAGAATATATACTAATTCTTGGAAGCACACAGAAACCAAATCAAAACACTTCTCTATACAGCATTTTAAGACTTCTAGCATACAGACGTCAGAGTTCCTCATATGACAATGTATTTAAATACCACTAAATTAGTACAGAGCTCTGTGCACTTTTCTTACAACAAACCTATTCTTTCAGTTTATTATGCACTAATAATCCGGTAAAATAAACGAGATTAATAATAAGCCTCTAAATGCCAAAAATCAGCATTTCAGATACAAATCTATTTCAGTTACAATGAATAACTGAAATATACAAGAAGAATGACTTAGTACTTATGCAAAGCAACTGCAAGCTATCAAACCAACAACATAAGAATCTCATTTTCACCACTCAAACACAGCCATGCTCCAAACCTGCTCTCCCGCTTCTGTTCACTAAGAACTTCTTTTTCTTTAACAACCAGCACCTGTAATAACCCACCTAAATGAAAAAACATATCCAAATGCAGCAGGGCCTAACTAAACACAGTTTTTCTGTAGCGTTACCGATACCGCCAGGCACCCCTGGCAGAGCCCCTGGCAGTGGCACAAGGCCGCGGGCACCGAACACCTCCAGGCCCGGAGAGCGGC